GAGAGGGGGGACGCAGGGAGCGACGCTGCCAGCGGAGGGGACTCTGAGGGCGGCGTCGGTGTGGGCGAAGGTGGCCGTGAGCAGGGCAGAGCCGTGGGGGGGCACGTCTGAGGAGAGTCTGCACGGGGCGGCGTCGGAGGCGTGGAGTCCGTTCGGCTGCAGCAAAGCGGCCGGGAGGTGGTGAAAGGCGGCTGCCCAGTGGTGAGGGTGCAAGGGGGGGGGGGGGGGGGCCATGGGGGGGGGCATGGCGCGGCTTCCCTCTGAGAGGCACAGGTGCTCAGGTGAGACACGAGTCTAACGCGCAGGGGATCAGATGTGTCGAGACCTTCCACCGAAGTCAGATACCTCGCGACTTCTGTCAAGCACTCCCGGAAGCCAATGCTCATGAAATCCATGGCCAGGGAATGAGCGTCAAAATAACCTGCAAGGGGAGGGCAAAAGATGCGTTGAGTGCCGAGCCGGCTTCTCAGCCGACGCTGGGTGACGCGGCTAAACCCGGTCCTCGCTCAGCTGCCACATCTCCCATTTACAGGTTAAGATTTGCAACGCGAAAAGTTTGTTCTCCGATCTGTAAATGATTTGTGTGACCATCCCTGTAATGCAATAGGCTGCAGTTGTTTTTGCAGACAATATACAAATGAAAAGAATTAAGTCCATAAGTACTTGTGATACTTAAAAAGATATACGATGCCTCTCCTGAAATTCCTCAGCAAGCTGCTGCAGTGCACTATTGACCCTGCGCACGTGTGTGAACGAGATGTTTATCCGCACAAAGAAACAGGCTGGAGATCAGGGAGCTTGCATGCACTACCCTGCCTTTTCTTCCCTGCGCTGGCATTCCTAGTAACGCTCTCAAACTATTTCTCGACATTGTGAGACCGTTGTTGTAACTGCTGCCGGGGTCCCATCTTCTTCACAGAGTCATTAAGACAATATGACATACGGTGTTACTTAACTACAAACTAAAACCATCTTGTCATGACCCTGCACACACACAATAAAAAGCTTTACTGAGAAAATGTTTTATGTAATGCCGTTGCTAATTTGGAGATGGAAGACTGACAGTCATATGGTCCATGAGGTATTTCGACAAACAGCAACTGGAGCTCCACAGGCTTGGGACAAAAAAGCATTCGAAAAAAATATTCGCGTTATTAAATGCACATGAAAATATATTCCCTTTCTAAAAGGGTCTAACTTCAAATCTAGTGCTTAAGTTGCAGCTCATCAACCACAAAATCCTATTCCAATTTTTAGAATTTTCCTATTTTAGTTTAAAAGTAGTCTCCTTGGAGGAATAATGTCCTATCCACGCCCAATCTGGTATAGTGTTTATTCCTCTTGCTTTCAGTGAAAAATTTTAGGTATGCGTGACTATGATGACTGTTAGTATCTAAAGATCAAATGCCCTTATTACGGAGGAATGTGGCAGCAATGCCTGCATTAGGCTGTGCGCTCTCTGGCATGAAATAATCTCAGGCTTTCTGAAGAACACTAGCACCTTAGATAGCTGTTTTATCAACTTTCAAGCAAGCAGAGAGCCTTTCTGTCACTGCACACCCACATTATAGAATTAACTTGGGCACGTTTATAGACATTGCCCCAAATCCCCTGCCTCCTGTATACCCCTTCTTGCCAAATTACGACAGCGATTTTGACGCAGGCTGCCTTGCTCATCTGAGGCTGTACGAAACCCGAGAGAAACGCCGCTCGGCCAGCAGATCGGTGAGCATGAGGGGTCGAGGACTCGTCTCAGCAAGCACTGACTCCTCGCAGCTTTTTTTCCTGCCAGGTCCGCTGCAACCAAGCGACCTGCGGAAACACTGCGGTTTGAGTGAGCTCCCGAGAAACAAACGCCAGCAGGCCGGCGGTGGCGAACTAGCAGGGTACCTGCTCGGGCGCCAGCGCGCCTGGCACAGGGATCGGGCGCCAGCCAGCCTGGCACGGGGACTGCCTCCGTGCCGGAGGCTCCAGGACCTCCGGCGGGTTCAGAGGGGCTGACGCACAGCCAAAGCTGCTTCCCCAGCTCTGGCCGCGGCTCAGCCAGCCTGGGAGTCCTGAGAGCGCGCGGCTCAAGCCAGGGCTTCCCGGCCTCCCTCCCTCTGGACCGGACGAGACGTGGGGGATGTGGTTGTCACCAGCTTCCCCTGAGTCTGAGCTGCTGGCTCTGTGTCCCAAAGCCCTGGTGATCCTGGCTCCCTCTCAGTCTCCTATGGTGGCCGAGACATGAAAACAGAACAGAGATGAGAGCTGGTACTCCCAGGCTCTATTATGTTTTGATTTTGATGGTTATCTTTTCCAGGTTTCCCTTTTGCTGGCTTCCCTCTTCTGAAAGAGACTTAAAAATGTTGTTTCTTGTTTCTTTCCAAAACCCAAGAACATCCTTCATCACCACCCACGCACATACGCGCTGCCGTTTCATAGTAAATGGGAAGCCTCAGCTTTCCTTCAGCTATCCCGGTAACCCACCTGCCCTGCACACAGGACACCAAGTCATTTGAGCTATATTAACCTACGTTGCTGACCCAGGTGTCAGTCACCCAAGCTAAATTTGCAGTGAAGCTGCAATAAAACAACACCGAGGGCCCAGTGAGCCACTCGCTGTTGACAAATTACTCCTCCCCTGTGCTTGCTTGCACGGTCAGCGAAAAGCCCTGGCCCCAGGCCAGAATAATAACTCAATGTGAACAGGAGACCATTGCCCGCACCTGTGGCAGGGTGGCAGAAACACGGAGTCTGCGTAGGACCTCAGAGGCGGCAGCCTGCCTGCCTGGGCAGCTCCAAAAAGCGGAGAAGGGACGGGAGCCACGTTGGGTTTTCTTCCACCGTGCCCACTTCAGGCTCAGCACGCTGAGCAGCGGCCAACTCCACCCTGGCTTTCCTAGCCCCGGGCATGCCACATCGTGGGTGTCCTCCATTTCTACGTGAGGAGGAAGAAGATGAGCTCTCTGCAGTCCTCAACACAGGCGAGCATAAGGGTATCAGGATCCATTTCTCCCTGCTGTGATAATAGCTTTTGTCCATAGGAAAAATGATGGAACTCATTTTTTTTGCTGATCCAAAAAAGTTTCTAGCTCAGAAGATGAGTTACAAACTCAGAATAACTACACTTGCAAATAAAACAAACATCTGCCTTAAGAACACCCTAAGAAATTATATTTAAAGCTGTTACTTAGGTTGCAAAGTAAAACATTAAGTGAGCAGGAAATGCAGGCTTAAACTTTGCCCAGTACTAACTCGCAAACCTTTTTCTTAAAGTTTCTTAATCCGTGCAGTAAGATTAGCCTTATCTCTGGGTCTGAAGGAGAAGGTAAAGTCATAGTATTTATGAAGCAGTTGGGTATTTTACTGATGTGCTACAGAGCGTGAGTAACAAACAGGGCTGTGTACGGCGTGAAGGCGGCTGCGGTTGCCTGCCCGGCGGCAGTGGGATCACACGGGTGTAAGCCAGCGTCGCCTCTCCCCGCGCCCCGGTGCTTCGTCCTTCCCTGCACCACCCTCCGGCACCCACGGGGCAAGGAGAGGCACAGCAGCGGTGGTGCACTGCGGGAGAGACCACAGGACTTGGGAATGCTGACAAAAGCCAGCTTGTCCGGGCGCAGCCGGAGGCCGGGGCTCTGCCGCCACCTCTCTCTGCACGGCAGCTCCCATCCCAGGCACTTCATCCCCTGCCCCACTAGCTGGGCCACCCGACCTGACCCAGTCATAAAATAATCCCCCACACACTGTTTTGAGGCAGGGAGGCAAGGGAAGGAGGGTTGACCTCCTGGCCCTCCCGCTGTCGGTGCAGACATCAGAGGGGTGGGAGCTGCCGCAGCTTTTAAGAAGAACGATGTGCAGCGTGAAGCGGGGGTCAGGTTGGGATAGCTGAGCTGCACGTCACACGGGGAGGATGAAGCGAAACAGCCACTGCTTCCTTCAGCAGCTGAGCGCCGATCGCCCCGTGCACCAAGTGAGACAGAGCTTGTGGAAAGCCAGCACGCAACCACGCAATTAAAGACAGCACCGTTGCGCACACATACAGAGGATCTGAATTCAAATTGCACAAGCACGATCAATTCTGGCGTTTCGTAACTTTCAAGAGCCTAGCTTTACCCACTAAGTAGTGCTTTTTAAAGGACATTTTTAGATATAAAAATAAACATTTTTTTAATTTAATTTTGCACATTTTCCGAGGAATCAAGAGGTGCGTCTGTTATATGAAGGGCAATAAAATCCCTTTCACCTCTTACAGAACAAGCCACCCATAAATTTTAAGCTTAAATGGACTTCTAGCAAAAGCCGCTTAAGACCTAGAAAATACGTATGTTAGCTCGGTGCTAATTTTCACAAATAACAGAACACCAGCCTTCGGCATGCTTTCCTATAACCATCTGTTGTTAAGCACGCACTGATTAAATAAATTGAATTCCATGGTCACTGCAAGGTACAGAGAGGAGCAGTAATTCAGTCATGGGCTAAACACTTTTGAGTTTAATCAGAAAAGGAAGAGAGAAAGCAGCAGCTACCTCTTTTCTAGCCTTTACCTATATGGCAGAATGGGTCTGTGAAAAACCAGCTGGTTTCCGTTACAACAATTTGAACCACAGTAACGGTCGATGGCACAGGACGTGGGACCGTGCTTACAGGAGGCCAGCAAGTTTTTCACTCCAAATAAGTTCCAAAATCATGACTATACAGAATACCTCGTGGGTGGCTGAAATCGTTTGGCCTCCAGCCTCGGGACTGTCAGCTTGCACAAGCGAGGTACGCTCGACTCCCAGCAGCCGGCTGATCTAGTGGGTCAGCCAGCGCAGCCCCTGCGTCACGCCAGCACCCAGTGAGCTACCCAGAGCTCTGACACACAACTACAGCGTATAGGTATGAGCGCAGCCATCTGCCTGTCTGCTTTATCAGATACCTGGAGCTGCACAGAGCAAGATTGGTTTATTCTGGTGAATGAGATGGTCTAACCTGGAATTTAAAAGTCTTTCCAGAACAAAGAAAATACATGAACAATAATGCAAGTTCCTCTCCATCCACTTCCTTTGGTATAGCTGCTGGATAATGAGGTTTAGCATCGGTTTTGTGCTACACAATTGTTGCCACAAACCTCCTGTTTATGTTTGGTGTTTGTGTATTTGTTTTGTCTCCCTGTGCAGATTTCAGTGCTCTTTGGAAACCCCAAACAAATCTCTGACTGGGCTGCCTGTGAATGAAGCCTTTACTCCCACAGTGTTATGAAAGCAAACACAAGCCCAGGGTCAAGTGCTTCTTTTGTCCCAGTAGTTCTTTCCCACGAGTTCAATCCTGCCATTAGCATTGATTTCCACTCCTTTAATCTGGAAACGCCTATCACAGCCCCTCAAAGCACTTTTTTTGCTGAGATTTCCCCAAATATTAGAAAAGAAACCATCGGCTCCTTACCTTTACCTCCAGTTGCCTGCAGCATCTTCAGATGATCCACTGTCATTTGCAGTATTTCCGCTTTTTCTAATTTGGCAGATCCCTTTGAGATAAGAGACTCATATAAATAAAGGCTTACAAGTACTAGAAACTTTAATTTGATATACTTTCCACTGAGCTCAGCCTTATGGTTTCAATTTCCCCCATCATTAGGACATTCTCAGCTTAATTCTTTCGTGAGCATCTGCCTCCCAGACTTTGTCTAAGAACTAACGCCGTCTCCTCTCTAGCAATACAAGCAGCAGCAGCAGCACCATTTTACTTTATTAAGGCAATATAGCTCAGCATAGCTCTGGCCTTGAAGATAGTGTAGAGATGACATCTTCATGAAATGAGAGAAAGACGTAACTTTCTGGACTTTCTTTTTAACAACAAACACAAATGGAGAGCTGGCAGGACAGGTCTGCACTGTGATTGATGAAGACCCTACGGCAACTTTTTTTTTTTCTGCTTTTACCAGTAGGTGTCCCTATGGATACACACCGAGAAGTAATCCCTCTTTCTTAATCGCCTATTAATTTTCAACATGTCATTTGGCTGCTGAATATTCTATTCTCATTCTCGACTGAAAAAACAACCGCACAGTCCGCAGTACTTTAAGTTAGCGAGAGGCCTAGTTTGCAGGGATGTGAAGCTAAACTCTGTTAAAAAGAAAAGGTTTAGCTCCTCTGTCAGTAAAAATCTTTTCTGTTACTGAGGGTGGCTCACAGAACTGTAAAAAAGTGCTGGAAAAGTATAAAATACAACTCAAAAGGTAGTATTAATATATTAATCTATAAATAAAACTTTTTTGAATGGTAGCATTCCCTTCGATATCTGGAGCATGCCCAGATGACTGAGTTTACCACACAAATGTTACTCCAGTGCAAGAGATCATCCCTTGGCATCAATTAAAACCAGGGCTGCGCAAGCTTCAGCCACCAGCGGATCACATCCTGAAAGCCAATTTTTTTTCTTAGTTATCATCCGGGCCACCTCGCTGCCGTCAGCCATCCCGCAGCCTCAGCCGGCTTCGCCCAGGTTGCACGCGTCTAAGTTAGGTAAGGCTTACGCCCTCCTCCGCAGCCCCGCTTCGCCAGCGCTAAGCTCTGCGAGGGACTCTGGAGAGCAGAGCTGTGATTTGGGGAGGGAGGAAGGGAAGCAGAAGCGAAACTAAACCTCCAACTTGGAAACTTCAGTGAGCTGAATGTCAAGGAGCTGGAAAGGGACTTTGTCCTTGGCATATTGCAGAAAAATGGCGGGGCTTTCTGAACAAAATACAGTGTACGCTCTTTTTTATGCCAATACATTTTTTTTTTCAATCTGCTTATTGCTTTCAATGCTTTGCTTGTACAAATATTGGTGCGCATGTGAATTTTTGGTCAGAATTACCCATTTGACATGCGACTACATCCTGTACTTTTCTCAGACTTCATCTTTTCCACAGACACAGTACAAGCCATCTCAGTGAGAGTGACTAATAGCTAAAAACTGCATGGCGCTGGGTAATTTCCAAAGGCTCTGTAGGACTTGTTTTATAATGTTTGTGGTTTTCAAGAAGTAAACAATAAAATGGGACAAACAACTGTTTTCTCTTGCCCCTGTTTATCTAGCTGAAAATACCTCTGTCACTCCATTTTGCGAGAACCTACGCAAGGGCACAGTTAGAACTACTAGTTATTAAAAGCGTGTTGCAGGTGATGCTCTCACCACGATTACAATATTTAAAATTTTCTTTTAGCTTTTGTTCAGACCAGAGATGTAACAGGCCTCATACAGTGCGGTGCTTGCCACGCAGTTACCACAGAGCTTCAGCAATCCTGCTCTCAAACTTTACTTTCTGTTTTTTATTTTACTACTACAAGGAGGTCAGGTTCTTGATTCTCACTTGGTTCCTTTTTATTGAAATACAGTGTCAATGGCATGTATGCAAATACCTCCAGTAAAACAGGAACAAGGCCAAACATTAAATCAAAGACCAAAAAATAAAAATCAAGATATGAAAAGGAAAATAAATAAATTTGAATGACATAAACAGAATGCCCTTCTTACAGCACAGATTGTATTCTAAGCTTTTGGTCTGTAATTTCATGACCCATTTCAGGAGCTGAACCAAAGTTCACTGAAGTGCGCTGGATCCTTCCAGCCTTCCCACTGAATACTTGCCCACTGAAAGTCTTTGAAAATACCGCCCACTTCACTAGCTGACACGACATGGGCCTATTCCGCCTCCTAATGCACTGGTTCTGAAGAGTCATTTTAAAACGTGAATAATCCAGACTGTCTGTTCCTTTTTCAGGAAACTGGATTGATTAATTTGCAACTGAAATTACAGTTTAAAAAATAAAGGTTTCTTAAAGTAGGGAAAAGGAGATTATATTTAAAGATTTAAACAAAAGGCTAATTGACATACAGGTTTAGGGGAGTTGTGTTGGGCTTGTTTTTGTTTTTTTTTTAAATATGGAGTAAAGCACATTTTTAACAAAACCACTACTGGAATTCATCGAAAGAACAGAGGCAACATGAACACTGTTACCCTTAAGGGAAAAACAAGCCAAAGAATGGAAATGTTTTTCAGCCTTATAATGAATTATGTTTCTAATAGTTTTGCCACAACAAAGCATTTTATTGAAATGCCTGCTTTGTGCCAGATCAGGACACATACAATATTATTTTAATGACTTTTACAAGAGAACTAACATTGCCAGATGAGATACAGAATTAGGAAAAAAAAAAAAAAAAAGGGCTTACTTGTTTTTCAAAAGCAGTTGGCACAAGCCGCCTCAGCTCTGATAAACTGTTATTTATACGATCACGGCGCCTTTTCTCTATAATCTATTCCAAAAAAAACCAAAACACATTAAGTTTATAAAAAAAAACGTTGAAGGGCAAAATCACAGCACGCATGCAAATTGTCACACGGGAAAAGAATTAAACGCAACGTACCCCTCTTCTTTTCTTTCTGGCCATAATTTGAGATGTTGTTGTTGGGGAATTTGATCGAATGACAGAACTATTACTTTGCCTGTGAAACAATAAAAGTATGTCAGGTGTTGCACAACTTGACACTGCTCTTTGAAGATACCTCAGGTCACCGTATTAAGTATGCATAGTCTCTCTCGGGCTGTTTCCAATGCTTAGATGTGGTTTGTACCGCACGGTATTTTGAGAGAGCGAGAGACATTTCATTTTTGATTGCCCCAGCATATATTTTGAATTGACAGGACTCTTTTGGAAATAAAGTCCCTTTCTGGAGAGAGTCCAGCTCAGCAAATTTCATTTTCATTGCATATAAAGCCCTATCTACCAAATACAGGCTGAAGAATCGAGTCCAAAACCACGTGAACCATCTATACATGCTAACAGCAGTGTGAAGTACACGCATCTGATGCCACAACCCGCCTGGCCTGCTAGGTTTTGACATTCCTGCCCACTGCTACAAGATTCAATACATGCTCCAGTCCAAAGCCAGTTCCCCAGCCCGGGTGTGCCGTGTTGTCCCGCATGAGGAAGAGAATTCAAAATCCATTTTAAAAACTACGCTACCCACGAGTACAAAAAGCCTTTTATTTCATCATAAGAGAGAAAACATATCCAGTAGCTTTTGTTACTGATTTAGCCACCGATGCGGACGAGACGGGGCTCCGGCACACGTGTCTCTGAACGGCCCAGCGCCGTCCCCGCGGAGCTGCGGGAAACACCGCGCCTCACCCTCCGCCGCCCACCGGCTTCGCTGAAGGTACCGTTCAGCTACCGTGGATCCCCGCTTATTTTCCACAGCTCATTTCCCACGGGCGCCGATTCCCTTAGGTTGCTCGGCCTGCTCAGGAGCTGTTTTGGAAAGGACTTGATTGAAAATGGCAAATTAAGCGGAGCTAATGGACTGCAGCCTGGTGGCTCACAAGCTACTCGAGTACTCTGCGTAATTTCGAGGCTCGGGCAGCTAGACCGCGGGGCAAATTCTTGGGGGGCTATCAACAAAACTGCTAGTTCACCTGGAGGGGGACAAAATCGCACCCCGCTTCGCACTCGCCCTCCCCACCTCTCTTCCACGACGGGGCGGCCGGGTTTCCCCCTCGCTCTGCCCCATCCCAGGGCGCACTCCGA